GAAATCAAAAGTGTGTCAAAATAAAAATTAATGTTTTTTTCATTTTGATCTGAATTGAAAATGAATGTTACTATAGGAAAATTAGGGCCAAACGTAATTATTAAATTTCGCGTTACAGAAAAATTAAATAAATGAATTTGTTGCCAAAAATTTAAAAAAAGTGTTAGTGGTGAAAGCAAAATTTAAGTTTTTCCATAAGTTCCAAAAAATCTTAATCGAAATTTAGAGATAAACATTCGCTGACTAAAGAATAATTTAATTACCAAAATTTCTATCACAAAATAAGGGTTTGTGAGAGGAGGGTAAGTATTACAAAAAAGTGAAGTAAAAAAAATCGATACAAAAATTAAATATTTCATGATTTAAATATAATGTATAGCATTTTTTATTATTTATATAATATGCTTCGATGAATTAACTGAAGTACCATTTATTTGCATACATGAAAATAAATATTTTAATAATCGCGGATTGTTGACCTATTTGAGGATACAAATTAAATATCCTAACTGATAAAAATGATTAATATATGTAAATGAATGATATTTACTGCACAGTCATAATATATCACTAATTTTATAAAATATTCACCATTAGTTAGCATAATTTATTATGACGTTTTATATAACATTTGGAATTTATTATAAGATTATTAATAATAATCTCTAAAATAAATAAATGAGATATACATTTATCATTTATATACAGGAGAGTAGTAGTGTTAATTTTTATATCCAGAAGATTATTAAAATAAAAAAATAACAAAACATTATTAAAAATTATAAAAACACAAGTTTTTCCTTTTTGTTATTAGCCTCAGCTAATAGAATTTTTTCAACATTTTTTTTTTAAAATATTGCTTACCAGATAATCATAGTATTAATAAATGATTCTATTTTTATAGTTGTGTTTGTGATGATGTTAATCTTTTTTTCACTCACGAAACAAATGTCTGTCGACACGCAATTTCCAGGAGAAAAACTTATTAGCTAATTGTGGATGCTCATGCCATCATAAACACATATGTTACTGTTATATATATTTAGCATTTATTTATAATATATTTTATATCTCCAAAACTCTTCGATTAATTTAAATGATGTCTTCGGCAAATTCGTTCAAAATTAAATTATCTATAATATTGTCTAACATCATAAAGCCCTACGTGAACTCAGTATACTGTAAAATCGACATTGAAAATTAAAATATGTCTTCGAAGAGCTGATTTAAAATAACTGTCAAACGTAATTGTCAAACCATTCGATTAATATAAATGATTGAAAAATGTGTACAAAATGTAATTGAATATAGTAATTTTCTTTCTTTCCACTTATTAATCGTGAATACCAAAGGTATATTTAAAAATTTGCAATAATGTAGTTCACTCGAATGATTTTTATAGAGTAAAATCACTCAGCAAAAGTACCATAATTATTATTTATTATTTCGTATCGACTTTAAAGTATACCGATTTGCTGTATGTTTAATAATAATATAAAACAGCAAACTTACCGTTTAAACGTTACAATAGATAAAATTAAAACAAATCCACAGTCACTATAAACATATAAAATTTACTCATATAAAGTTTTTAAACGACACCATTTATATATAT